GGGGGCGGGAGCGTGGTGCCAGGCTGACAATCGCCGCGTGAGCGGGCGGCATGCAGCATACACCTCGTCAGTGCCGGCCATTGCAAGACGCCTCTAAAAGCCCACCCTCGTGCTCCTGCCGCTCCCTGCTGAGCGACTGCCAGCCTACGCTGCAATTGAATGCCGCGCGCATGCGGCCCCTCTGCGTCCCCACGCACCAGGTTTGCAGCTGGCTCCAAGACCTGGGCCGTGCGAGGCGCCGCCTGCACCGGTGCATACGTCTGCTGGAAGGCCGTAATCACAGCGCGGGACCGTGCGCGCACAGGGGCCTGCGCATGCAAAACGCGCGGGCAAAGCAGATGAGTTCGCGAATCGCGAGAGCGCAAGCGCTCCATCCGCCGCACGGATGCTGCCACACACCACAGGGCTAACGCCTCTGTGTCCAGCAGATTCGATTCGGTAGTACTCGCTGACATCGGGACGATGCGCACCTGCACGCGAAAAGGACACCCGCGAAGAAGGGCCCTGCCATCCTGCCTCGTGCAGGTCGGGCTTGTCCCCCAGCCCAGGGCGCGCATGACTGATGGACGTGGCCTTATATAAGGCGTATGAGGGTGCAGTACACACCCTAGCCTAGCGTCCTCGCCCCTGACAGAAAAAGGAGCGAGCGACGTGTGACAGGCTCAAACCAATACCTTAAGGCAGGACTTCGAAGCATCTGTAAAAATGAATTGAATGAGGTGTTGCTCGCGAGGTCTAGGACTATCGTGCCGTTTGCCGCTGTCACTCACGAGCTGCCGAGCAGCTCATCGGAACTGCCCAGCAGCTCTGCAAGCACCGCCCTCCCACGTCGCTGAGTGGTATATGCCTGCTTGTAACACACAGGTGGCGCTGGCTGCTGCCGTGGTCGCTCCCTCGCCGCACGCGCCGCACGCGGCGGTTGAGTGCGCGTTGGCGCTCGACGTGGTCAACCGCGCCCCTGACGAGATGCGGCACCGCATGTGAGCTCTTTGTTCCATCTTGTTGCCAATTCTTGGGGTGGGGGCGATGTGAGTGCTGAGAGCCCGTTTGCGCTACGACGCCATGCTTGCCGCACCGCGCCGCCACGCGATTGCCATGCGTCATGCATACGGTGTGCGCCTCACCACTCCCACCAGACTCGCCGTGGCAGCCCGGCACCGTCTGTCACCTGGGGCCTTGCTTGCCCTCACAGCTGCTTCCTGACTAGCCCGCTCACTATGCTGCGGGCACGGAGGGGCAATCAGAGTTCACACACTGGTTTGTGTTCTCCTAGCTGCCCTTGGACCCGCAGCGTGTTCTCCTGGCTGCCCTTGGACCCGCAGCGTGTTGTTACAGTACAAAAAACATCACAACAAATGCCTGATCAGGATGCATGATAGCAGTGTTGGGAATTCTGGGCACCCAGTCAACCTCAAAAGTCAAAGCAAAGGCCACATGCCCCCAGACACTCGCTGATAATTGACAAGCACATGTGAAATTGTAAGCTAGTCCTGCCTTGAGAGCAGCAATCCCACGGCATTGGAAATCCGCACACTGTCTGCCTGCAAGCCAACATGCTGATGTGCAATGGCAGCCACCCCGCCGGCGGTACGCATCACCTGGAGCGCACTGCCGGTCAAGCACACCAGGCCAAGCACACGCTGCAGTGAACAAAAGCCAGACGGCGTGAGAATAGAAGTATACCTCAACTACCTTGGAGTCGTAGTCGGTCGTCCAGCTACGGTGGGGGTTCAGAACCCCACCCGCGTCGCAGTGAAGCCGCTCCGGTTGGCCCATGAGAGCAGCTGCATTGCAGGAAACCGCGCTCGCTGTGCTTCCAGGACAGTCAAGCACGCGGCGCATCCCTGTTGCCAGCATTCTTCCCCTTGTCAAGGGTCTCGAGGTCGTGTAGAATTCATAAGTAAGTCCCATTCATCCCGTGCATCAGCGTAGGCCGTCTTGCTGTGAGATCGCAGCTGGTTCGAGCCACCTACACTAGCAGAGCCTGACTCAACTTATTGATGCACATAATTCTAGCCTATTAGAAGGGTACTGGCCGGAGGAGCGTCCTGCGGAGGCTGCTTGTGACACACCCGGGATCAAACAGGCTCGTCGCGCCTGAGGTGCGGGTGACTCGTGGTCATGAAGCCTTGTACTGCTATATCGTGCACAACGCGCGCTAGGAAGGGGGCGCGTGCCTGGGGAAGGGTGCCCAAGTGGGGCTGAGGGATGGCGGGCTTAGATGCGAGGCCAGCAGAGCGGTGGATTCAGCACAGTGGAGTAATCAAAAACTTTGGACGCTGCATGGCGGGCTGTGGCTGCCGTCGGGCTGTCGCAAGAGCCACTCCCTGGAGCTGCCCAAACGCTTCACGGGCCACCCCGCAGCCACGCACAGCTATTTCATTTCTATTTTTATCTGAGCTGTTCTGCGTCGCGGGAAACGTGGTCCTGGTGGGCCAACACCGCCAGACGGGCCACCGCCCTCCGAATCGGGACAGTCCGAGGGCGGTGACACACGGCACAACCTCGCCGAACTGTTCGCAAACACACATGTTGTCACTGTGCTCGCCGTGCCGCATGTGCCTGCGCAGGCGCGCGTGCTGGATGCGGGTGCTCCGAGGAGCCGCTCTCGCGCTGCTGGTGGTCCTGCCACTGCTGGCCGACGGCGTCCGTGCCTGCGGCCAGCATGATGGGCACGCAGCGAGCTGGGACCGAGAAATCGAGGTCAAGGGACGGCGGCGGAGTCTGCTCTCTTTGAAGGGCCGCAGGTACGTGTGTGCCCGCGCCCTGGGGGGTTGGAGCGTCTGCTGGTTTGCAGGGAATGCGCGCGAGTGGTAGACCCTCCTTTCTCCTGTGAGAGCAGCAGGGCGCAGAAGCTTACGGCCGGGGCACTTGTCAGTTGAATCAGCATGCACCGGGGCAGAGGCAGCGGCAGTGGCTTGTAGCGACACTGGGGTCCCCGCCAGACGCCTAGCCTGCAGCCCCCCCGTCAGCCACAGGCGGCAGGCGGCAGGCAAAGAGGGTTCTAGCCAGCTGCAGCAGCCCCTGTTGAGTCAATGTCGAGTGCTGCTTCCGAGCAGCAGTCGCTGGAGCGAGCGGACGACAGAACCCGGTTTTCCCCCAGCACGCCGGCGCGGGCGCAGGGCGTGGCGGCCTCCTTTCTTAACGTTACAACCCCATGAGCCTGGATGGCTCCAGGAGCGGGCGACCGCGGGACGCTGTAACAATCGTAATCCTAATCCTAATCCTTCTTTCCGTCCGACCCCGCCCTGGCGCACTCACCGACCCGCACCCATGCCCCTCCCCCCCCCTCACGCCCCCAAGGTGCGGCGCCGTCCACCCATCGCCCGAGGTGCTGCGGCGCGTTGAGTTTACGCTCGCGGCCAAGCGCGCCAAGGAGGCGGCGCGCGTGTCGCGCGGCGGCAAGGGGGACGTCAAGGTGTACACCATACCCACGTACGTGTACAACGTCGTGTCGACAGACGGCAGCCGCGGCTCGGTGCCGGAGGGCGTGCTGCGCGCGCAGGTAGACGCGCTCAACCAGGCGTACTCGACGGCGGTGCTCTGGCAGGACATGAGCGAGTCGACGTCGGCGGCGTCGGCCGGCATCCAGTGGAAGTTTGACCTGCAGTCAATCACCACGGTCAAGGCCGGCGACATGTGCGACGCGGCGGTGGAGAAGACCGTCAAGGCGGCCAACCGGAAGGGGGGCAAGGGGGCGCTCAACCTGTACATAACCGACCTGTCGAGCTGCGGGCTGCTCGGCTACAGCAGCTGGCCGTGGGAGCTCGCGCCGCAGTCGGGCAAGGCGGACGCGAAGGTGCTCGACGGGGTGGTGATCCACCACGAGACGCTTCCTGGCGGCAGCTACAAGCCCTACAACATGGGGCGGACCTGCATCCACGAGACGGGCCACTGGATGGGGCTGTACCACGTGTTCCAGAACGGTGGGCGGGAGGGGGGGTTGCGGTGCGCGGGTACGGCGGCGGGCGTGGCGCCTGGGGCCGGGGAGGGGTAGGGTGGAGTGGGGCGCTTCGAGGTACGCAAGCGACACGGGCAGGCGGGGCGGCCCGGGCAAGCGGGGCGGCGGCTGCGAGGCCGCTGCGGCTCTCGCTCTCATCGGCGCGGCGCGGGCCTCTTCTCCCCCCGCGAACGAAGTTTGACCCCCTTCGTTCGCACGGCGCTCGTTTTGCACCCTCCCTGGGGGCCCCAGGCTGCAGCAAGGGCGGGGACCAGGTCGACGACACCCCCTTCCAGTCCTCCCCAACGGAGGGCTGCCCCAAGAGCCGCGACTCGTGCCCCCAGCCGGGGGAGGACCCGTTTTGGAACTTCATGGACTACACCGACGACAAGTGCATGAAGGGGTTCACGCCGCTGCAGCACAAACGGATGGCAGAGTTTTGGGAGCTCCACAGGGCCCAGCGGGACTGAGCGCCGCGGCCGCGCGGCGGCGGCGCGGGCCGGACGCCGCGCCGTGGCCGCCGGCGGCGCGGCCACCTGAGCGGCACCTGTGTGCAGCCGCGCGGCGCCTCGCGCGCGGGCAGGGGCAGGCAGGCGG